AGAGGCTTCAAATTAAGCGGAAGACGAGCAGACCTCATCGCACGTGTTAGTGACTGCCTCAAGTCGGGAAAACAATGGGAAATGGCTTCAGGCGAAGATACTAAAGGAAAGTAAAGTCGATCGCGTGAAACTTAAGGATCTAACACTTCAGTGTAAAAAGGGGGTTGACAGGCCGCCTACACGACTCCCCAGCGCGTGTTTAGAATAGCCTATTCAAAGTTTGGCTCTCACGAGTATGTCTTTGAGTGATCGTCCTCTTTTGTAAGATACGAGTGGCGGATTTTTGTATAGTTAGCTCAGTACTGGATGTGCTTCAATCAAATGCCAGTGTCTCATGAGAATTTGCTTTAGGTTTGGCACTGATGGTTGGTATTGTGTAATAAAAGGCAAGATTCGTTAGTTCGTCTTCGGTTTCTGTTGAAGAGCTAGTTTCCTGCTTTTGATATTCACCTCTGAGACGGTTGTGTTAATAAGGGCCTCTGGGTAGCCTCTCTTTCGCAAATGCGCTTTGAAATTTGAAATTTTCTCCTCGAATATTGTTTGAGAGGATTTTTTCTGAGAAGTCTAAGGGCCTCTCCTTTTATTAAGCCTTTCTTAACTCATCATTTGTGGGTGACAGGAGCTATAGTGTGTATACTGAAATGTCTCAGTTTGTTTAAAATGAGTACGCACATCTAGGATTGCGTCCTTTTCGAATCGTTCGCCTTTGCAGATGTAGGTGTCCAGGAATGTTTCCTTATCGGAAATTTCAGCCGTAAATTTTATTGTTGGATGATGATTGTTTGCTTTTTCAGTGAAACGTTCTATTGTTGCTTTGTTTGTACTCCATAGCGAGATGTCGTTTATGTAACGTTTCCAAACAAGCGGTTTGAAAAGGCTTTTTCAAGGATTTCAGTGTACAGCACAAATATAAGTATTGTAGTTAACACTATCAACTGAGAAATTCTTTCTAGAACACGCATTTACTCAGCGTTGAAAAAGTTCCAAGTCATGCTTCGGCTTTTCGACCGTTTTTATGAATTTCTTTAAGCAAATCTGACAATCCTTCTGGATATCTTGATTCATTTTTACATGTACCCCAACAGCAATGCCTAGTTACAACCATTTTAGAAAGTTAGAGCATTTTTTGACCGAAAATAGTCTTGCTTCTGACACGTTTCGCATACAACTCCTTGTAAAGACTCCAAGTGTTTGTCCTAAACCAGCGGGGGGTCCAAAGATGACACATCTATTTTTAGACCTGGCGTGCAGCGTCATTGTTTTGGTATATTTTAGCTAAGCTAACTGATTTCCACGATTTTTTAATAATTATGCTTTGCTGGACGCATCTTGATAGACTCGTTTTTTCCAACTTCCAATGGGGGTTCCACATTTCAACAGCCGACGAAAACAGGCAGAAAAAATTTTTGCCGCCATGTTTGCCGCTGACCGCACGCAAACTGCGTTCAGCCTTCTCAATATGATGTATAGTATGATCTGTAAATGTATATGGCGTACCTTTTCATAAGCCATTGAAAAAATACACACAGTACATTATTTCAAAGGGTCGCTATGCAGACTTAAAACGTAACAGCGTATACATGAAATTTTCACAGAGATAAAAGACCATCGGCTAGCACACAAAATAAAAAGCGGCTTTGCATCGTATTGTGGCGTGAGAAGTTGCCAATTGTTGCAAAAAATTCTCATCGTTTTACGGGGGAGACAAGGGCCATATAGGTGTATTTTGAATTTTTCAATTTCTCAGAGAAAGCAGAGCGCGATAGAACTTTTTGACGTAATTTTTGAAAAAGTTTCATCAAAAGGAAAAATAAAACTGAATTACGAAATTTTGCAGCTGTCGGCGACTCTCGATATTTATAGTCAGTGGCTCGTAAATATAGACAAAATGGTTGAAAAACACACGTAGAAGTGCAAGAGTTATTTATAGGTGCTGCATCGCGTGCTAGAAATGATACTAGTGGTGTGACAAAAATAGCTTCGATTATTTTTTTTCTCAGAGGGCAAGGTAACAAATCCTGCAATCCTGCAATCTAATTGGTTCTTGGTGCGGTCCAGATTAGTCCGGATTCTCCTATCTCTGCCCACGGATAGGGTAACGCTTTCGTGAGTCGCAGTGTACACACCTAGCTACTACTTTGTAAAGAGGTATAGCAGTAAACGTTTTTGATTTTCAAAACGCGCATTTCTACAGTAACCCCATCCGCCACGTGTTAATTTATTATGTTGTGAGCTGGAAACCTGGATCGAGTACGAAAATAGAAAGCACCTGGGAGAATTAATTCCAAAGAAGGAAAGATACCCATTCTCTTTGAATTTTCTTTCAATTTTCGAGTTCCCATTAGAGAAATGATCGTATCTTCGTTGTGTAATGGTGCTTTGTGAGATCAACTGCCAAACAAAGCTCGATTTGTATATCATTTAACCCTATCTGTCAGTAAGCCTCGACTTCAAGTTCACGTACTAAACTAAGTTTGTCTTTCGTCACTTATACCCTCATCATGCACCGATTCTAAACACCAGGTGCTAGTTTTTTTGGTGAAAGGTGGGGAGGGGGGTCGGCTGAAGGAGTGGGCTGTGGTCTAAGAAAAGTTAACTTATTATCGAGTCCCCTACTCCTCACTGCAATTTAAGGTGATGGCGGTGCCACAATTTTCATCAATCAAACAACAACAAACATATGAAACATATGTATGAACTGCGGTTATGAAACGTATATATGCACGATCCTTCGCAGTAAAGCACTATTTGAGCAATAGTGAAAATCAGACCTGAAAAAATTTCATACGTTTCATAACCGCAGTTCATACATATGTTTCATATGTTTGTTGTTGTTTGATTTATCCTCTACGGGTTTATGTCGAATTAATTTGATGGCCTGCTCCCAGTTGGCTTGTTAGCTCAATTGGTAGAGCGCTGCACTAGTATCGCAGAGGTCAGTAGTTCGAATCCCGTACAGGCCTGAAATTTTTTTCAGGTCTGATTTTCACTATTGCTCAAATAGTGCTTTACTGCGAAGGATCGTGCATATATACGTAAATTTTAATCAATGTAACACATCCTTATTAGTTTCTAAAACTCGTGATAGTTCTTTTTAAGGAGTGATCTTGACGCCAATTCGAGGTCAGTTGACATTAAATGAGCATAATGAAGTTAAATTCCAAGTGAACAACGGAATTTTCAGGGCATGCACAGTTGCTAAAGATGATGGTCACTACACGACAGGATGCCAAGGAATTTAGCTAGTGTCAAGCCAAACTGAAATTGTGAACTTAAAAATTCCTAAGCAATATTTATTTAGCAAACAGACTTTTCGAAGAATGATAAAGTTTCTGTCGAATCATGTATTACAGACTTAAAAGTTTTGTCGCCGGCTTTCTTTAAATTAATGATAAAGTTCCATTAAAATCAATGCCTTTTTTACTTCTCGCCATCCTGATTCTTCCTTTGCCCTACCTATCCTGTTCAATCGAATTCCACCGACCTAGTCTTTCAATCCAGTCCACTGATTGATCTTCTATTCTAAAAATCAAACCACCTGAGAACTTTTCCCCTTACCAGGCTCCAACACGGTTCCGACAAGTTTTTCTTCTTTTGTCACATTTGTATATGCACAATTTTTGCCCTACCTCGCTTGCTCTTCGGCGTTCTTGTAACCCGGCTAATTCTTAGCTCAATTAAATTATTTGATACATCAATGCCAACTAAGCAGTTTAGTCATATTGCAACCCTTGCACAGCTTTCACAGCGCACGTGACAAAATATTCAAGATCATGCATATTGCTATACTTTCAAAATAGTAACCCATAAGGCATGTCATCCTTGGATTATTATGCTCTATTAAATTCAAAGTCACTTTTACGTGATAAATTGACAAAGCCGTTCACAGTCGTTGTTCATTTCATTGTAAAACGTACCAAACGGCTCAAAAACGATCTCCTACGGCCGCCAGCTAAAGCGTTACTAGCCCTCTCTAGCTGGAGCTTTAAAGTCATATTTTTAAGATTTCAGTCTTCGCTTTTTAAATGAAAAGAAAGCTTTGCCCTTGAGGCTGGAGTTTCCGGAATGCTTGGTACATGCTGGCGTTTGCACTATTGTTATAGACATTACGCGCCCACTGAACGGCAGACAGCTGGTTTCAATCAAATCAGGTCTTTGAGTAGGCTCCAATTTCAGGCATTCAACTTTGCTCGTTAAAATGAGTCAAATAGAGTACAGTAACATGCTCTTTGAGATTGGCCAGGGACTGGACAAGCTGCAAGTACAAGAACAACTCCTATTCATGTGTAGGAGTAAGTTAACTCGTAGCGTGCAAGACTTACAAAATTCAAGATCATTGTTCGAAGAACTTGATCGCCAGAATTCCTTGCAAATTGATCGACTGGGAGTGTTGAAGGAGCTACTTAAAGGGGCCAAGGAATGGTCCCTTTTAAAAAAAGTTTCAAAATTTGAGGGGAAAAGAAAAGATTAGAACAATTTGAAAGAGAAGTTATACGTGTTTTCAGCGAGAACAGTGAACTGGAACACTTAATAAGAATTTGCGAAAGAAAAACGTCTTTTGATTACGAAACAAACATTCGAGATGTTCGAACATTGTTTAATGAACTGGAGAGCCAAGACTTTTTAGAATTTGATCACCTCGATGTACTAAAAGAAATATTAAGAGAAACCAGATCAGACCTCCTAAAGGAGGTAGAAAACTTCGAGAGGCGGGTCAATGAAGAAGAGGAACTCGAAAGTGAAAAAGGTAAGATTTACCACTTGTGTTTTTTAAACTTTCCCTGTCGGTAGTCATAGACGATTTTTTCATAAATGGAAAAGGGTGTCTATGGGTAGCAGAGGTGATGGGGGATGATTCAGACCCTAAGATCAAGCTAGCTACGGTTGACCTACAAGTTTATCTGCAAAAAAATCCTTGAAGATCATATGTATGCGCCAACAAAAAATATATTGAATTATGTTTGTGATAATCTTCTTGCAGCGCGTACCGCCGGAATTTTTGCATCGGGAAGAATTTTAGGTGGAAGAGTGATTGGTGGTAAGTAAAATATAAATTATCTTTCAGTAAAGCTAAGAGTACTGATATTTACAAAGAAGCCTTGCGTTAAGCCGGAAACAGTCGACTCCACTGTCTTATTTAGTTGGCTTATGTCTTATTTAGTTGGCTTATGTATAATTATGTCCTTGAAATTAAATCTTTATTACCGAGTGTTTTAGACGTGACATTTTGCAAGAAATTCTGTTCATAACTTTAAAAACTTTGATAACATACTCTCTTGGTTAAATAACTGCCACGAGCATCTCAGAAATTACAGGCCACATCTTAGCTTCTACATATGTTGAACCGTGAAACTTCCTTTCATGCATGTTCCAGGGAAGAAAAAGAAAAATGAAGACTCGAAGACGTTGCTAACTGCTAAGATTTGATTTGAATTCTGGATTAGAAACCGGCTCCCTAATTTCATTATGCCTTGACGTAATAAAGGTGTTGCGTTGGCTATCCTTGTAGAAATTAAAAGACCCAAGCTTATTTCATATTCTCGAAAATAACAATTTTCCACTTATCGTGAACTTAACTTTAACTGACTCGTAGTACTAACACAACCTAGGGAGATATTAATTGAATATTGCTACAGATTAGGTATAGAATTTTAAAGTTTGAAGAAGTTTGACGATTTTCAAGCAGGTGCTGTAACCTCAAAATTAAATTAAATGGTGTTGTCTTAGACTTGGACCATTCCTTAATCCCTCCCACACAAATGTATTAATAAACTAATAATCATGGCTTGCTTTCTTGTCTATTTTTGGTGAGAAAAGTTCATTTGCCTATACGCAAGGCACTGGTCGACGCCCGTTTCAGTTTACAACAGATCTTTTGCTATTATTTGTTGGAATTTACATCTTTCCCTTCTAACAGTTGTTAACAGGATAAAATCAAGAGCAAAACAGACACAGACCCACGAGTGTGCGAATAATATTTTTGCAGAGTTTTGAAAATTATCTGACCATTTTCTTCTCGTCAGTATTTCTTTTGATTAACTCGCTCGTCGATGAGATAGCTACAGACCTTAAAATACGTGGGTGTTCGATGAATAAACTTGAAACACTTTTGCTTCCCGAACGCTGATTTTCCAGCGGGTTTCTGAAAGCGATGTGAGGAGTTCTTTAACTTAGTGACGTCATCTTTCAGAATTGTAGAATTATAATTACTTTTTTCATATTTTATTATCATTCTCCGCCATCCCCCGTCCACGTTCCGCATCCATATTTTCTAGGATCCCGCGTTGTTGATGCCAATTAATCACGACTGTTGTCATTCGTCAGCACCCATTAGTCGAGAGTCATTGTCATTAAAAGTACAGACAGAAGCGTCTGATATGAAGACTTCGGTCCAATTAAAACCGATCTGACTATAAACTCTTTAAATCAATGAAAGGGGGCATTTGTTCTTGTGCTGATGCGGTCCATGGAAAGGAAATCAGCTGTCGGTATTTTTCAGTGCCCTCTAAAACCTCTTTATCTCAGTGCATATTAATTACCTGTAAATCTTTCACCATTACCAACTGTAAGGTCAATAACTGATCAGAATCTCGACAAAAATTTTCATCGATAATCTTTCAATTGATCTAAC